AATGGCCACGTATCCTGCTCGTACCCCGCGGCGGAGTTTGCAAATCGAGGTAAATTTTTGCGGCCAGAGCTGGTCGTAACCCGAAAAGTTCGTTAACAGAGACGTTTGTAACCCGAGGTACCACTGTAAAACATTGTTTTGAAGTAGGTAAAAAGACTTTACAAGAGGAGCTCCAGCAGAGTGAGTAGAATTAAAAATAAAATCAGTGAAAATATTTGGGGTGAAACTGAAGTGAGAGAATGCTGAAAGGTATCGTTTAGCAATTTGTATGGGAAAGATACTGATATAGCAAAGACTGAAATTGAAATCAATACTATTTAGCTAGTGTCCAAGAAAAATTGATAAATGTCATGAGAAGGTTGAAAAATGGTAAGACTGCAAATGTAGATTTGTGTTAACATTTTACTATGATTGAGAGCTTCAATGCATGAGCTATTTTCCTGTTTGGGGGTAGACAGGGCATAATATTCCAGCTAGGAACATCTGAAAATTATCTAAAATCATACCATTAGATTTAATCCAAGTACAGAAATTTTAATGATAGTAGGGCTGTTTGAGCCTCAAATCTATGCTTTGTCCTATATACCTCTTTGGCAGGTCATATTTTGGGTCCAGCATTTTTTCATAAAAGTTAATGGTTTTAAAAAAAATGGCAAGACTCGATGAGGCGGATGTGGAATATACTTGTTTCATTTAAAACATACTGTACAATGTGGCCAAATAATTTCTAATCTTTAAAAAGCCCGGTGCATGGTTTTACATTCATTTCACCTTGCATGCTTTTATACCTCCTTTCTGTAGAACTTCCTGGAATGACCATTGATTACATAACCTTGTGTTTTCATAGTAGTTTAAACAAAGATGAAAAAGATCTCTGAGCCAGCTTGTACATTTAAACATTTCACATAAAAAATAAGTGTAATCTCCAGTCCCTCTGTGGATTTCCTTTGTGGGACAGGTAGATAACTGTAGTGGCTAGTGGCCCTACAATAGATACCGTTTTGGATAATCCCGTCAAATTTGTTCCCAGGGTAATTTGTAGTGGGGTTTTTTTTGCATCCCTGATCACAAATATATGCACATGAAGTCCTCCAAACTTCAGTGAACAACCCCTGCCTTTTGCTGGACTTTGCTACTGAGTTGGTTTTTTTTTAATCATGTTTTTAACAGAACTTTTAGTATACATGACATAGAATTTGCAGTATCTTCTAAGGATCTGGATTTCTGGCTGAAGACCAAGGGAAAATAACTGAAACATTTCTTTGTGACAGGTGAGCCCATGGTACAACAGGATAACAAGCAGATACAAGTGGATATTCAAGACCTGGGCTATGAGACCTGTGGGAGAAGTGAAAACGAGGCTGACAGGGAAGAGGCCACAAGTCCCGGTAATGTAAGATGTTCTTCTGGCTGCTATCCTTAATGCTTTCAATTGTTTGACTTACAAAGGACTCCTAAACACTCTGAAACAAAGAGTTCTTAATATAAGAAGGTACTAAAAGCAGAATATTTCTAAGTTCCATTTTGTACATTATTGTGCATGCAAATTGTAGATATGATTGCTATATTTACAAACAAAAGAAAATGTGTCAGAAAACTGGAATTTGCTGCAATCCAAACTCAATTGTGCCTGGTAGAAAAGTTCAATTACTTACCTAGTCCTAATGCTTAGTGGTTTTTGTTGTTTTACTTAGAATGCAGAGATCATGATGAGGAACTAAAGTATTGGAAGAAGCCACTGGAGGCCCCTCTAAACAGACTAGCAAAACACGAGGCATTCCTGGGTGTCAGCCAATGTGACGATGCTGCAGTTCTTCGCCAGCATGTTTGGGCCCTCCAAATGCAATTACAGAGTTCCCACAAAGTTATCCAGAATCTACAAAGTTGTGTGCGCTCTGTATCCACGACCAGTGATTATGGCTCTGTGGGCGAACAGCCACTCAAACTGAAGCAAGGCTACACTCTGGGCAACTCTCCTTCCCACAGTATGACTGATGAAGATGAAGGCTGGCAATCTGACAGCTTTGGAACTTTCTGCCCATCAAGTCTCCAGCCCAACAAAGATTTGGCCAGGCTTATCCAGAGAGTATCCCTGCTTGAAGCTCATCTGAGTGAGACTAAGCCAAAGTTGCTTTTGCCAGAGGAATTGAAATGTACAGTCTCCTTGGGGTAGGAATGAGGGGATTCCAGGATGCAGGGATAAATATGATCAGCTGGGTCTGACAGAGCATTGGTGTGGGTTTCTGCAAAGTCACAATGGCCAGTAAGGCATCTATTTTACCTATTCAAGCAGAAGGTATGATCAAACTAAAATTCACTGGGCAGTTTAAATCTCTGCAGAGCAACTCTAGCTTCCTTTCTTCTGTTAATACCAAACAATAGTTCTCAGCATGAGGATATAGTCCAACAACATAAACACTAGGTGAAATGAATATAAAACAGTAGCATATGAGTTGCTATGTAATGTATGAATCAGTTCTGAGTTATCCATTCTCCTGTTAAGTTGGTGAACTCACTCCAGCATGTGTGAGTGAAATGCCTTTCTCTCTGTATGCTGAATGTATGAGATACCTTCTGGTATGGATGTCCTTCTGGTGAAAGGGACCAAGTGCACTGAGGAAGCCTTAATTCTTACTTGTCCTGAAGTTGGATCTCTGAACCACTTTGGTTAATTTTTTGCTCTCTTTTCCCCAAGGAAATATGACTCGTTAGTCCAAGCTCAGGCTCGGGAGCTCTCCCATCTGCGCCAAATGATGCGGGAGGGACAAGGGGTGTGTCATATGCTAAACCAACATTTCAAGGACACCATCAAGTCCTTTGAAGAGCTTCTGCGTGACACTGACATTGACTACTACTTGGGGCAGAGCTTCCGTGAGCAGCTCGCAGAAGGGAACCAGCTGGCAGGCCGATTGGCCAGAAAACTAAACCATAGTGAGTTCAATAGGCACTCACAAAGTTAAAGTTAGAAACTTTATTTTTGAGTCTTCAAAATAGAGTTCCCATAACTTTCTTTTCACCAGTATTTCAGTATTATAGCATAAAGGGTACAGTTCCAGAAAGGTGTAATCTTGTAAATGTCCATGTCCTACAATTTGGTGACCTTTGTCATATAAATGGACTTACTGAAAAAGAGTATTATTAAAATGCTATAGAAAGAAAGAAATTTGATGAAAGTGACAGATAACTCAGTAGAGATACTCAGAACTGTATGGGCAACTTATTCCTCATTAGAATTGGGGCCTGAGTAAAACTCTATAAAACAAGGGTTGGAACCTCTGGCCCAAGCCCAGGATGCCAACCAAATGAGCTGAACCTTTGGAGGTGACTGAGTGCCTCACCACTATGAAACATGGAAATAAAACTGATGTCAATAAAGACAGCTAGTGAACTCTCTCACACACACACAAACACACACACACTCTCCTAATAATAGAGAAAAATGGGGAATCCATAATCACAAACACAGCCTAACAGAGAAAACAAACCCCATTATTTCATTAGGTTAAGCCTAACAAGTGTATGTCCAGAACAGCTAATGGAAGCATAGGTCAAAGCAGGCCTACAGTTAGGCTTTACATGGTTACAGTATGTCCAACACTGATTATAGGGAAAAATGTAGAACCATGGGGGCAATATATAAGAAGCTTAAAAATAAATGAGGAAGCTTGTTGGAAACATTGGAATGGCATCATTTTCTTCTCTGTAAGGATCCATGCTTTTCTGTTTTTAATTTTCCACTAAAAGAAGGATATGCAAGCCAAGTGATCAGTAGGTCCTGTAACAGAGAAGCTACCCAATCACTAACTTTTTTAAAATTCTGTTTTTAGGGAATGATCTAAACATGGAGGACAAAGCAAGTCATGAATTGCTTGTGATGAGGTAATTTTAATGAATTTCTAGATGCAGGTTTATTTTGATATTATTTTCTCCAGAAACCTTCTCATTCATTGTATTGTATACTTTGCATACAGTCCATGAGGCTATATAGTTTATCACTTGATAAAACTTCATTTGTATTTATTTATTTATTATCCTTCTGGCCAAGTTGCTTGACTCAAGAAAAACTCGCTTTTCAAATTGTCAAGTAACAGTTGTCTTGCTTCATAAAATACATTCAATTTACTGAATACCTCATGCTGAACTGGAGTCTATTCCATACCAGTATGAAATCCTTTATAGCAATCATCATCATCATCATCATCATCATCATCATCATCCTCATGGGATTATTTAGATCACTTGCAGACTGAGGGAGTTTATCAGCTGACTAGAAGTACAAACATCACGGGCATCAGAGAGAGGTGCAGTGTTGTACAGTCTGAGCTCAGGGAAGGAGTGAGCTGTATCAATATTTCCATTAATCTTCAAGGTTTGCCTTTCTCCAGGATGAGCAAGGAGCTCCAAGAAAAGGAGCAAACCATCAAGACCCTCCAAGCAAAACTGCAAGAACGCTCAGTGACCCCTTCCAGTAGCCACACTATATCCGAGTCACCCCGCTCTGACAGCAGCATCTCCTTCCTCTCTGATGGCCCAGAGGTCTGCTCTGATGTGGATGATCTTACTGAAAATAAAATAAGTGAAGGCCAAGTCCACAACCTCCTAAACAAAGGTATAGCACTTAAGACCTGGAGGGATATACTGTACTCTGGTCTGGCAAATAAGAGAAACTGTAACAGGATCGGTAACTCTTTCTATCTCATTCATCTGACAAACCAGAGTAATCTAATTAGAATTCAATTGTTTTCCTTGTCTTATCATCATATCCTTGGCTAATAAAAGCAGCTCAGAATTCTGATGTTACTTTGTAACCTTCTTATCAGTGGTATCACTTCTATTTCTATAAAACTCAACAAGATTTTCTTAGAATCAAAGGTACACTCAGTAAACTTCTTAACAAGTAAATAAGGCTTCATGTTAAGTCTTATGTACTTCTGCTAAGTTACGCCCAAGCTGTCTCATCAAGCCAGTTCTATTTTTTCTTATGTGGCAAATTATGAAAGAAGCAAACTCTCAATTTTCTTACTATCTGAGGTTTTCCAGTCTTCATTACATATTATAAGTTGATATCCTAAGTATACTAAATCACTACCTAGAACAGCTCAGTCCTGGAGGCTGTTGTCAGACTCTTGACCTCTGAAATATTGTTAATCATCTTAATTGCTTGGAATGTCAATTATTCTACAGTAAATTCACCTTGGTGCTACAATTCTAAAAGTATTTTCTCCTCATGAACTTCAACAGCCTTGTAAATCTGCACAGAGTGAAAATTGTTGGATACAGTAATCACTCATTAAAAAGGGCTTGAAAATCACTGTTCATCCAAAATTCAAGGTTTGGTTGACCTGCCTTCATGCATCTGGAGACAGCAACCTCATAAACCCAGGCCTATTGGCTTGGGCTGGTCTGCCTTTAGACATCTTTCCAACAGTTTCAAGCTTTTCTGAAGTGCTGGGGGTGGGGGGAGGCAGCATTTCCAGGCAAGCTCTTCTTACCTAGCCCCAAACCTTACCATAAGTAAGTAGTATCTTCCTCCAACAACTTTGTAAGTTAGCTTTCCTACACTAGTAGGGAATATGAGTTTGTATATTCTTAACCCACTGACAATTTAATCACAGAGATAAAATTAAAAATGAAGGCAGGACCATGGACTGGGGAAGATACAAGAGGGGTGAAAAGTGTAGTGAATAGGTGCATTCATACATGTCGATAATTTTAAAAAGAATTAAGTCCTAAAAATACGACAAGAGGCAGGATGAAGCCTCTTTAAAAACATTTTTAACAAATTGTCCCTATTAGTATAGTCTTGTTTTGACATAAATTATTTTTACAAGTACAAACCTTATAAGTTTTTGTGGTTAGCTATGTTTATACTTCGATAGAATGTCTTGTTTTGCACATTATTTTAATGCTGTGTTTGTGAGTCTTCTTGAAAATGTCTGTTATGGAGTGGCTCTATAAATACAAGAATTAATAATCAGAAATGTTCAAATCTATCCTTTAAAAATGGAGTTTTTCCCAGGAGTTCTACAAACAATTTACATGAAATATGCTGAGTGAATAAGAACATGATTACTCTCAGAAAATGTTCACTTGATGTAAGGTTAGAAAAAGGAATCTCTGGTCTTTTAGAAGGCTGGGAGTTGGCTAAAGAGAGAGAGTAGCTGAGGGAGTCATATTTTATTTGTGCTTGGCATGGATGTACATGAGAGTTCTGCATTGTTTTGGATTTGTTCTTGCAATAATGAAACAGGTATTCATTATTTCTGAAGATTCTCTCTGAAGAAAGCACATCATATCTCTGGTTCAGAGGCTTCCATGGGCGTGGTGCTCCTCACTAGTTGCTGTAATGTTCTCTGTATGCAAATTCAATGCACATTCCCTTCTCTGTGGCTTCTTATAGAGCTTAACAGTCGATCTTGCAAAACTCCTGCCCAGCCAACTTGCCCAACTGCTGCAGCTACATCCCAGGCTGCTCCAGCAGAATGCCTCTCAAGAAGGTGTTCCCTGCATCCCTTGCAGATTACCAGCCAGGCTTCAAGAGGTATGGATCACATACTGAACAGTGGGGACCTGAATTAAGGTCACTGACAATTTTTCTTTCTTTTAAAAAATATCTTACTGAACCTTCAGTTTATTTTTATTTACAAAATTAAATACAGTATAATGTTGCTCAACATGGGAAGTAGATAGTTGGAAAAGTAAAACATAATGGGAGAGGAGAGGAGAGGAGAGGAGAGGAGAGGAGAGGAGAGGAGAGGAGAG